TGTGCGGCCAGAAGATACGGGGTTTAGAGGGGAAAAAAAAAAAAAAAAAATGAACACCATTAAGTGAGCTATCCAAAAAGCTGACACTGGTCAACTGTCAACTCAGTAAAGTTTGTGGCATTCTGGAGTATCCTAACAGTAATTTATTTTAGAAGACAAAAACATCTCTTTCAGAAATTTTGGATGACTCCTCTGAACAAAAAGCAGACATCTGCAGTTGATTTCTGATGTTCTCACCCATAGGGTTCAAAAGCTGGAAGCTGCAAAACACCAAAGCAACTTTAGGACTGTTTCCACTGACCTACATTATTAAATGCGATCCCTCAGACTACAGCCTTTCCCTAATGGCTTGCCTGAGACATCCACAAATAATGTAAAATGGATTAATTCAAGCAGTTTAAAAAAAAATAACTAAAAAAAAGGAAAGAAAGCTATTACACAGCTTAAGAGTTCACAGGAAATTCATCTCACTTCAGAAAACAGACAACTTTATCCTCCTTTTCTTTCCAGTCATGCACTGATATGTATCCAGGAACATTTTCTGAACAAAGACTAGCAAACAGATCAACCAAGAGTTTGGTGAATGCACTAACTAGCAAACACAGTCCAAAAATAGTACCAAAAAAAAAAAAATCAAACAGTACTGAAAGAAACCATATGTAGTAAAAAAAAGGGATTTCTAACACCAGCCACAAAATACGCTTTCTTGAAGCAACTGGGAGAGGTATGTTACTGCTTACTGTTCATATAAGCAAAACATAAACACAAGGGATCGAGATTTCCTTTGAGGCTCAGAAGAGACACTATCCTTCCGGAGAGGAATGGTGGCCAGCTTTGGGATACAAAGCCATTGTGGTGAAGTCTACAAAATTACTAATCTCATCTCTACTCCCTAAATAATATGAGTTATCAGAAGTCAGAGTAGAACATCGTAAGGCTGATTCTTTGTCTTGAGGAAGCAAAGTCTATCCCAAATGAGAGTTGAGCCAAAAATCTCTCCCATGGTTGGTTAAACAGGACAAAATCTGAAGTATCTCAACAATTAAGAGATACTTGCTGCAATTCCCAGTGTCTGATCTGAAATAATCATAATAAGGCAGTGTAGCTCCTCCCTAAGGAGCCATTTCTTCAAAAACAGTAGACTTTTTCACTGCAAATGCTGACTCAGAAGTCAGGAAAGACCGTTCTTCACTTACCATGTTGTCCTCAAGCACCTTTGACCACTCTGGAGGACAAGATACTAGGTTTACACAGATCTTTACTAAGACTGAGCGTCAATGAAGCACAACAGGAATTAGCCTGTCCTTGATTTGCTTCCCAGGCTTTGGGAGTTAACAACGATATTAGCTGTACAGGGATTTATACCTGTGTCTCAGTTTCGCTAGTTTCCTCCATTCTTAGTAATTCGCTTTCTTTGAAAATAAAAATTAAAAAACATCTGGAGCAAGAAAAAAAAAACACACCACAACTGAAATACATTTACAAAGATCAGGTACTGCAAGCATATCTGATACACAAGTTTTTATGATTTCTGTATCATGCTCTTTGTACTTTATCAATAACTACACCCATCAAATTAAGTACTACCAGTTGATTCAGAGGTATCTGGTTCCAAAAGTGATAAGTGCAAGTCACAGCCTTGAGCTGCAGAAGATCTGCTGCTTAACTAGTATAAAGATTAATTTCTCAAAGTGGCATCTTCTGAACAAAACAAAGTTTCACAAACTGTACATACAAAGAAATAGCTGACGACAAAGAATATTATCAGACAGGTTAAAGAACTGCCTAATTTACAAGTCCTAATATTTCTAGACCTCCAATATCTCCAATATGTAATTATTTCCTTCTGAATTGCACCTGAAGAAATAAACAGCACAGATTATTTTAAAATGTTAACTCAAATAGGTAACTGCTAATTACATCCTATTTAAAACTGAGACAGTCAGTAACCTCCTAGATCAGTGCTATTCTCCAATCGCCTTTACTAAAAGTAAAAAGATAAAAACAAAAACATGCTTTCTGGATCAGTTTCATGGAACTTGAGTTTATTCTAGGTAACGTTTAGTCTTTTTTGGCTTTTTTATTTTTAAGTTAATCAAGCGCAGGAGAGAAAACACACGTTTCTGTGCTTTAATTCAGATTTTTCAATTAAAAAACTAAAAACCGATTTAGATTAGCAACATAATCCTGTGTTATTTGATCATTCCGCCTCCTTAACCCCACTAACCTCTATGATTTCTCCATCTTCTCCCTAGCTCTGTCTTTCCTTAAAAGAAGTTATATACCATTTATCTGTTAATGAGGTGTTACAACTGAAATTTGAATCACACAAGGCTCAGGAAATTCAGAGTTAAAGCTTCCACAGTGACTTTAACCTAGCCTCCTTAAATATATGCATTACAATAGGTTCTTCTTTCCTCTCACTCCACCACCCCCATCCTTATTGCCTTGTTTTTCCCTGTGGATATGCTTTAGATCCTGTTTATCAGTTACAGGAGATACTCAAATACCACTTCGAAGCAGGTCTGTTGACTGCTAGTAATGTTGGAAACACTGACATAAGCAAGATTTAAGTATTAGTAGCATACACAGAAGTGAAAGCAGACAGCTGGGTGGCTAGATGGCATAGAGGGGACAAAAAGGAAAGGGAAACAAGGGCTATCCGTTTTCAGCTGCATAATATTGGATTCCAGGAAACTGTGAAGACCCTCCTCTCCACCAACATTGGGGTGCATGCAACACACTGTCTCCTTTAGTCATTTAAACTTGGAAGAAACAAAATAATATCCCTTACTGGAGCCAGCAAGAGAGTCAGCCACAGGAGTTGAAGCAAGAAATATTACCAAATCCTTTTACAAGTCTTTTCTTATTTTGTTTGCAAACAGAACTTCTGTATCAGATTTCAAACTCCACACTCTCCTTAGTGCCTCCTTCTTCCCCCATATCTTCTTGACATACCCTCTCCTCTTATTTATCTAAAGAATATCCCAAAAAGCAGTTAATGCCACCTAGTAAACAAATACTAGCACACTCATATGTGATACCGTTACTATACCTGACTGCTATATTCGTTTCACTGCACACCTAAGTCCAGTTCACCTACTCAGCTTTGGGGTTCTCAGTATCAGACTGCTGAGTATATTGATCTTCAATGCACCACACAAAGCATTTCATTTGATCACAGTTTCCAGATGGCACTGTCTATTAATTTTATTTCTGTTACTCTAACCACACAAAACAGATTTCACTAGTAAGGTGCTTAAAACGATGCCAGATGCTATTAATTTATCTACGTAAAGAATTCCAGCATGTCCAACACTGACAGAGTTAAGCTGATTATTCAATGTTTTCACAGTGCCTCACGAGTCAGTTCCAAGTGTCTGACAAGGCTCCTGAAAAAGCTAATAATAAGCTTTCGGGGGGGGGGGAACACAAAAAATTATGTGTTCTTTAGTACGGCTAAAGCCAGGGGGAAAGAAAGAAAGGGAAAAAAAAAACCAACACAAAACCAAACCAACTTATGTATTTTTTTCTACTTCTTTCAGACAGGAAGCCAGCCAAGCTCTGGAACGTATCTTGCCAAATGGGTTTTGCTAGTTTTTAGTATCTTTTCATTTCATTCTCTTTTCATTTCATTTCATTCCCCTTTAATTTTCATTTCCTTTCCTTTTCATTTCATTCTCTTTCCTTTTTGTCTGATGGCATGCACAGCCAAAATACTTTCATGAGGTCTTCCCAGTTTAACTAAAGGTAGTAGTAACAAACCCCAGTATTTTTATTCCAAAAGAAGTTAAATATTAATACTCATGTCATAACTATTTAAGGACTGTCACTAGACAGTATTAAGCCTATTTTACAAAGTAAAAGCATATGAAGAACCACTTGGATTAAAAATCAGTCCACTATTACTTACCTTTCCCTGTTTTTTCTTAGCTACCTTTGGCTGAATGACTAGCAAGAGGAAAACAGAAATGCATAATCATACTATATACCGGCAGTTTACAAGCAGGTTTTTCTACTGCTGTTGCATGGTATCTTTTAACATCTGCACATATGCTCTAATGAGTATCATGACAATCCTACATCAGATGTTGAGAAGTACAGACACTTCTGGCAAATCCAAAGAATCCACTCATTTAAGAAGCTGCTGTTGTCTGTTTCTACAGGCTTATATTCAACTTTGTAGCAACAGCTGACAGGTTGATGAGCCAATTCTACTAAAACCTGCATCTTTATACTTCATCTTGATGACACTGGATTTTTCATTTTTTAAAAGCCGTAATAAACACTATAAAAACTGTGCTTTACTACACAGCACAGAATTCGATGCTTGAACAAATATATTTTAAAGAATACTCTTAGACAAACAGTTTTCAATTAGGCAACTATTTGTTACATTAACCATTTACTAGTGTTTTTGCTTAATACAAATTTGGAACTGTTTGACCTGAAAAAACATCAAATCATCCTCTAAACAAATATTAACTTTTCAGCAAAAGGGATGTCTGAAATGCAAATACAAAACTATACCTGCCATGGATCCAGCCATTAATCGATGCACATGCCCTGAAATCCCAAGTTGCTTCTTTATTACCTACAAAATACAGAATATTTACAACAGTCGTATATCAGAAAACACAGGGAAGTACATCGCACAGTTTATTAACACATTAATGCAAACTCTGTAGCTGTTTCAAAATTTACAATACTACAAGTTCAAACCAGAGCACTTAATTACTGTTTAAAGAATTTTCTGAACATTGCTGCTGTTACCAACCTCTTATTAAGAACATGAAAGTGCTAAAATTCTACTAACGAGGTAGAATGATTAGTTGAAAGCATTTCTGCTCTTTGCTTCAGAAATTAGATTGTTTATTTAGTTATCTTTAATGCACATCAAACAAGGCAAGCTGAATACTATCCTTGTTGCATGATAGAGAGCAAAGGACACTGAGCAAAGTTGAAAAGTAACACAACTGAGAAAAGTAAATTTTTCTCTCATACACAGCATGTGAAATGTACTCCTATAAAGATATATTTAAGGTTTTGTTTAACTGGACTAAAAAAAAAAAAAAAAAAAAGGAGAAGAGAGAAAAATCGGACAAGCATTTGAGAGCAAGAACTTCCTAAGTTACATTACGTCCTGAAAGGAAGTTAGAAATTAGCTTCCAGGCTCCTGCCAAATAACTGAGACTTTTTAAGAAGCAGTTTCTGCTATAAAGAAGATCATTTCATATCTTCCTTCTTTAAGAACTGGAGATTTTTTCATTTTACACATTCTTGCAAAACAAATGTTTGTTGTCAATTAGTAGATAAAAATTCCTGCTATGATGCTAAATGGTTTCTTGAAATTTGCAGATGCATAAATCATTTCATTATAAAGCATGGCATGCAGTCTTTTATTCAAACCAACATAAAACAAGCATAGCTCAACAGCATTTCTAATTATACCACAAAAAAAAGAACATATGAAACTCATTACCACTACTTCTTTGTATCAGCTTTCTGAAATTTGTTCTTTTGGGAAGGGAATCACAATTTCAATCTCACTGTCTTCAATTTACTTCACTGGGTTCTAAATCTGACCTTTCAAACACAGAATTCCTCATTGCTGACAGTAAAACTGTATTTCTCACTACAGATAAGCGATGTTTAAAAACATGTTCATGCTAACACCTCACCTCCACAAGATGTTGCAGGATTTATTACGTATTTATTGTGAAAGACTAAACACACAAGAGCAGAAAGGAATCCACAGATCCTGCAGGACCTTGAAATCAGCATTTTCTATTCCCGGTCATTTTTATCCAGAGTCTGACAGAGTCATTTGTCAGGTCAAATAGAACAATCATATCCAGACAGATCAATCAAGTATTAAGAATCTGAACACAATATGATAAAGAGGTTCCATTTTACATTTTGCTCCTACATTATTGAGAAAAGGCAACCTTACAGCAATACAAATAGCAGCACAATTTAGACTACCCTTTTCTTTCATTAAAAAAAAAAAATATTCTCAACAATATAGTGGTACAAAAATTGGTGGGAATTTTTTTCCTTAAGTGACACTGCAAACACTGTTGCCCTGACATTTTTAAAGCATAGATTCAGATAAAATTAAAGCAACCTTAGAGAAGACATGCAGCTAATTAATAAGACACAAAAGTTTCAGTGTTAGTTTTGATCACTTAAAGAATTCATTGCAGGCAGAAAAAAAATAAAAGGAAAACAAAATAAATTCAGCTACCTTTTTATATTGATCAAATGCCATAAACTGAATTGCGCCATATGGAAAGATTCTAATCATCATTGCCCCGTTTCCTTTATACAGCCCAAGGTAACCTTCCTTTTTGGGGACAGCACACAATGTAGAAAACACTCCTGCCAGCAATACAAAAAGAGGTATTTAACAATTACACTGGAGAGGATGAAGGAAGAAAAAAAAAAATCAAGCAAATATTACCGACAATAAGAAAGTAAGCATAGAACTAAGGCTGGATCATGTTGTTCACGTAACTATGGAGAGTGGAAAATCCACTTCAATGCCCGAGCATTGCTGGAAGGAGGAGGTTTAAGGTTAAATTTTATGAGCTCTCTCACCTCCCACACTCAGGGGACCTCTTGCTCAATTCATGCATTTCAGGCCCCTGGCCCACGACTTGCCTGGACTGCAAGTAATCCTATTGCAGACGATACTATCCACCCACAGAAGCTAATACTAGCAATAGAAGGAAGGGAACAGGTTGACTTGCAATTCAGTCAATTCAAAATAAACACTTAAAAATCAAAAACCATGGGAAAACAATCTATTACTGCTACATGCCAAATCAGACATTAAATGCCATCACTGAAAAAAGGAAGTAAACAAGTTTAAGACTCTCATTACTTACAACTTAAACATCTCACACTTTCTGTCCCAGAGTTGTTGCAACAAGAAGCAATCCTATTCCCTTTTAATAGGTGGGAAATAACGCAAGATCACACAAAGTTTGGGCAAAACCTAGTTTTATTACAAACATACTAGTTACACACAATTGCTATCAAATGGATTTTTTTTTTTTTTTGTAAAGGAATAAACTATCAGTTAAACGGTTTTCATTCACATTCAACTACTTAGGAATACAAGAGCTGAACACGAAAACATTTGTCTTACTCTCAAGCAGAAAAAAAGATTATTTGACAAACTTTCGTTTGAAGTTTAAAACAAGTATTAATTAGTTTCTGGGGTTTTAAGAATACATTAAATGTATTTTTAAGACGTCACACTTATTACGTGCCTCTGAAAATACTTATGCCATGATTAGATTTTCTCCCTACCCTGCAAATGAGTTACTGTTCTTATTTCTTAAAACAGGCTCTGAGATCCACGTGACAAACTCCACAGAGCAAGGGCAGTAACAACATTTAGTGAGGACCTTGATGAACTAATCCATCGTTGTCTGCACTTACAGGTATCCCATCCACATAATTCTCTTTCTTGGCTACATGTAAGAAGGACACGCATTCAAGTCAGACACATTTCCAATAATCAGAATAATCTCTAACACCCTAAACAGGGAAGAATATAAGATTTTACTTGCCAGTTATGGCACAGTACAAAGTAAACAGAAAATAAGGATTTAAAATATCAGTCAAACCAATTATTTCAGCCTTCCATTCTTATACTGCAGATTCGAGTGCATACTTACGTGACTGTGTTACCAAAGCATCACGTTGCTTGTGTTTCCTTTTTCAGCACAATGAAGTGACTATATAGCCCCTGAACTTTGTTTCAAGATCTATTTTTCCAGTCTTTCAAAAAAAATTATCTTTAGTCTCTAAGTTAAAAATTCCTAAGTTTTGTTACATGTAAACCTAACCAACTCAAAAGTATTATTTTTTCTTGACAACTGTAACACACCTAAATTTCAGAACCTAAGTTATGACATATTTCAAGAACCCATGACATAAAATACCTCAAATTCTATGCACGAGAGGGCACTGTTACAGCCCCTCAGAGAACGGTTCTGACCACGCTGACAACTGAGAGTTTATTCTCTCACCATGATGCAACGCAGATGCCAAACACAGACCACCTGCACCTTTCGCCAAGCACAAATCCACCTCTATCTCCAACTCGTACGAACCGCGCTGCTGTCTGCGAGCTTAAGTACAAGTGGGCCTTGCAGGACTGGGCCGTCACTGTCTTGTCATCATCAGCTCCATGAGAGCTACCAAGCTCTGGAAAGCACGGATTCCCACAGCCCCTGGAAGCTGGCAATGCCTGCAGCAGGCTGCAGCAGTTACCAGCAGTGACAGTTTTTATATAAATGACCCAAGCTTTGGACCTGTGATTTACCAATCTCCTGCTGGCTTCGGTAAGAGGAAGATCACGCCTAGCTCTCACATCCCTTATTGAGGATTATTCTGACATCTCAACCTCCAACCCATCAACCCATGCTGCAACTTACTCGCACAGGGTTTTGTTTTTCTTTTTAAACACTAACAAAACACAGAGACTGACCAGGCGGATACAATCTTCTCTCTGACTAGTGCCTTTTTTTTATCAGCCACATTGCTGAATAAGTCAAGGTACCCAAACCATACACGTTGCATTTAAAACCAAAAATTATACATACAGCAGCCATCTTACCTAGATGTCTGTAATGGTGGTTATGAGCTTGCAGCAAAATCTTTACTCGATCCAGTGGCGCAGTAGTTGTTTTGGCACAACATCCTGCAACACCTTTCCGAGAGGGGAAAAAGAAAAGTGACGAGATGCAAGAGTTCTTTACGTCAGCAGATAAGGGATTTTTCTAATGTATTTTTAAATGCAACAGTGGAGGAGAAACTCAAGAACTGGGAAAAGATCTGATGATGAGGAAGCAGCCTCTGTTAGAAGCACGCTACAAAACCTTTAAAGCCTTAACGAAACGTATAAGCTACTTTTCCCGATTACAGAAACCCGGGCCACCACCTCTCTCAGCTGCTGAAGTCACAGCAGCAGCTTTCAGAGAAAGTTACTCCGGAGGTTTCCGCCCTGCTTTCTCCTTTCCTTCCGCCCAGCCTTAGCTGCTCTGCCCCAAGGAGGGGGCTACGTGTCCGCCGTGTACCCTGCGCTACCTCGGAGCGAAGATCCGACGGCGAGTGCAGCCTGACGTGAAAACTTTAAACAAACAAAACGTCTTCCAGCCCCCTGGCAAACCGGACAGCGGGGACAACACCC